GAGTTTGTTGTGAATATCATCGGGTCCTGGAGCCCTTTTACTGGGTGACCTTTTTATGATGTTAAATATCTCTTTAGGATTAGTTAGGTGCTCTGATGGAACTTCTTGTTGTTGAATGTTCTTTATTTCAGCTACTATATTTTCAATTTCATTTTGTTCGTTTGTATTTCTGAAATTATTGACAAAATTTCCCTGAAAGAACTCGCCGAATGCTGCGCATTTTTGCTCGTCTGTAGAGTAGTTGTTGTTATTTTGTTTCAGTGTGGGTAGCTGGGAGTATGGTTTTCTAAAACTCCTCACAACTTTCCACACTGAATTGTCGCGCGTGTCTACCTTTTCTAGGGTCTTGCGCCATTTATCATTTCTATAATTAATTATTTCCTTGTTGATTGCTTTTCCAAGTTCTTGCATCAAGACCCTATCATCGGCTTGTCTGTGCGTCTGCCATCGTCGTCTAATGTAGTTTTTGTTCGTAATGAGGTCCAAAATCTCTTGAGGAAGATCATCTTTGTGTGGTTTCCGAGTGATTAGTTTAGTAGACCTATCTCTAGCTAAAATGATTGCCTTTGTAAGGCTTTTAAGTTCTTCCTCAAGAGAGTTTGTGCTAGTAATGTTGTTGTTGATTGTTACGTTTTCGTCTAGTGTTTTTCTGTATTTCGTCCAGTCGGTAGTGTTGTAATCGTGATAACGACCCTGCATCCTTGGAATCAACTGCGTGGTTTTGATCTCCAAGTACACAGGATCGTGATCAGATGTTAGTGTTTTGATAGTCCTAGTGTTGTCAATGTTCGGCACGTTCTTGGCAGCCGCAATGTCAATTGTTGAAGGAAGATGTGCGGGGTTAGAGGGGAAGTGGGTAGGTTCTTCAGGATAGTGTATTATTATGTCATTGTCTTCGGCGAATCCATTCAGGTTTTTACCATTAGCATTGGATACCGTGCAGTTGGCATCCCAGTTAGGGTGTTTACAATTTAGATCACCCAATAGCAGGACTCTATTTCCCGATGACATGATTTTATTGATTTCTATTTTAGTAAATTTATTAGTGGGGGGGTTGTATACCCCTACGAAAATAATATTGTTTATTTTAATTCGGAGATGTTCCTGCGTAATATCAAGATTGTTTAGATGTTCGTATGTGATATTAGATTTGATAAAGAAGGCTACACCGCCCCATGCCTGTTCTGGTCTGTCTCGTCGAATAATATCGTACCCGTGTATTTTGATTGTGTCCGTTTGATTGTAATGCGTTTCTGTAATAAGTACGATGTCAAAATTATGTTTATGAATGAAACTGCGTACAAGAGCTGTCTTGTTTCGCATCCCATTTGCATTGTAAAAGCAAATTTTGAGTTTTTGTTTGTTCCTAGAATTGAATTCAGTTCCTAAGATTAAAGTTACTGTCGACGTTACTCATGAACGCGTTATAAGATTCTATAATTTCCTGTCCCGTTTTGCAATTTCTAAGTTTGGCGTTCAGTGCTCTGACCGCCCTTGTAAGCTCACCAATATTGACTAACCTGTTTAATATAATGAATTCATTATTGAGTTCTGCGAAGTCGTTCGTGATCTCGGTTGAGGTATTATTCTTCGGTGTCTCTATTACGTTTTTCTTAGCTTGATTTTCTTCATTATTTCTAGCAGGTAGTGTAGGATAGTCTGTGTATGAAGGTCTCTTCTGTTGCCTGGCCTCCCATTGGTTTTGTCTTGGTAAAGGGGCGGGTACATATTTCTGTTGTGGGCGTGGCCTCCTTTCTTCTAATTTTTCGAGTTTTGCCAAGTATATTTTGCATTTCGAGTAATTCGCAGGGTGATCACCCCCACAATTTACACACTTAGCTGGAGTGTCTCGTGACTTGACACAGGTTCTTGTGTGGTGATCACCCGCGCACTTGAGGCACTGTGGTGGCCTCCCACAGTTAGCAGTCGCATGCCCCCATTGCTGGCAGTTATGGCATTGGATTATGGCTTTTACAGATTTACGAAGTTCCCAAGTAACCCTAGTATATAGTATTCTGCGGACGTTTTTGTTCAGGTAGTCTAGGGTTATTGCCGGATCTGTAACTACCAGAAATAGGGGCCTATCTTTGGTCTTCATCTGATATACTGCTTTAGTTTTTATTTCATATTCCTCCTCGAGGTTTTCTTCGATGTCGGGTATTTTAGTACCTTCTGCGAGCCCACGTATCACAAAAGCGTGCGACTTTTCTTCACTGGCCGTGTATGTGTGATATGCCATCTTTTCTTGCTTGATGTTATTTAGTATTCTCTCGTGATCATCTTTATTCTCAACAAATATTATGGTATTATAGTTGGTGTGTTTGATGCTGAAGTCCCCCTTTACATGCATCTTGAGGTCACACACCAACTGTTTTTGATTCGTTGTTTTACCGTCAATCACTATTGGCGGCATTGTCTTTTTGTTTCTTGTCTGTTTGTTATCTGTTGAATTAGGTTTAGTGGTTTTGTTTAGATTTGAGTCCTTGTTTAGATTGGCATTTGTATTTGGCGTAGTGTTGCTCGTGCTGGCTCCTTGTAGATTGTCAAGATTTAGTGGTCTGAATTTTATTCCCTTTTTCCTTTTTTTCACTATTTTGCCTATCTCATCGTCATCATCGCTATCTGTCTCTGAGCTATCTGTAAGTGCCTCGAATCTGTTTTTCGTGGGCGTTATGGTTTTTTTGGACTTCTCTTTGATCAGTTTTTGGAAGTTGGAGGAAAATCGTCTTGGTTGGACAAACGGTTGTTGACTTTCACTCCTTTTTTTTGCCTCTTCTAGTTCTTTGAGTTCTTTAAGTTCTTGCTCATATCTCTCCCTGCCTTCTTTTGTCCTGAACTCGAAAAGACTGTTAGGAGAATGGGGTAAGTTCTGATATGGGTCGTTTTTATTTAAGTCATCTTCTGACGTATGTGTTGAGCTGTATTGCATAATATTTGCAGAGACTCTTGGGGGTACTTCATTATGTACATCATGTCGCCTTATTCTAGGGTCGCTGTTTCTCCTTTTGCTTATGGCCCCTGTATTTTTAAGTGTTACGTCACTCATGTTAACTATTGTCCCTAGCGGTATCATGGGTGAGGGTGAGGGAATATACCCAAATTGAAAGCTACTCAATTCACCTTCTTTTTGGGCATTTACCTCACCTCCCATTGGTGGATTATTATTTGTCGGTATCATATTGTTCGGTAATTCATTTGTGCCAAAGTCTAATGGTTTTTGAAATACATTATCAGGCAGCTGTAATGTATTATACTGCGGCGGGCCTCCTGTGGCCTCCGTTACGTACGATGACGTAAAAGTGTCTGTTACTGGGGATTTTTCCCCGGGTTCCTTTTTATCCGTGTCAACCACTGTTGTGTCCATACTGATATCAGAATTGTCAGATGTGCTTACAGACTCGTCTGATTTGTCATTTTCCAGTACATGTAAAAGTTTCTTTACAGATTCCTCATGATTATCCGTGGGTTTTTCCGGATTATTGTTTTCGCTTTCGTCTCCTCCGTCCTGGCTGTCGTGGAACTCCAGGGAGTCCTCAGACTCAGCCACAGACGGTTTGCGGTGTGTTTCCACTTCGGGTAAGTCTAATAATGGATTCGTCGCCGCCTCACCAACACCTTGACGGTCATGTGAAGGTCGATTGGCGGGAAAATTGGCCAGGAGGGCCTCCTGACTCAGGCAGCTGATATCGGTATTTTCAGTAACGTGTTTTAATCCAATTGTACTCACGGTTTGTGTGTTCTTCTTGGCTTTGCTCTTAAATTTGTGTGGAGATTGGATATTCGAGATTTTAGGGAGCTCTGAGAGTTTATAGGGCCGGCATCTGGTTTTGAGACGTCTGGTATATTCAGTTACAAAGCCAGGACTTGGCGTTTGGGTGGCCCTTTCGGGCTCGCTCATTGACCGTTTACCCTCAGTTAGGGTACACTTACACTGGCGGGGGGTTAATTAAATCGAAAGAAAGAAATTTTTTGACAGCTGTCACTCTGTTTACAATAACAATTCGCAGACAAACGTGGATTCGCTCAACTGTCGCCTAAGAAAGTCCTAGGTAAACTGTTAATAAAAGTTTTTGCGTTTATCTTTTTTGTGTCTCATGATTTATTTTTGCATTATTCAGTGACCTTTACTTTGTTATAATATTGTTAAATGTGGAAAAAAATTGTCACCCAAATAACTTTTGTCACCCGCAATGAGTCTTGACTTCATTGAAACATACGTTTTTTTCATAGTACATAGTACAAATGATACTTTTAACTGATCTTAGATTTTAAGTAGCATCAACATCATCATCATCATCATCATCATCATCATCATCATCATCGTCATCATCATCAAAAATAATATAAATTTGTTGTGGCCTTCTTTAAAATGTTTAAATTTTGTTTAGACAGTGTTTAGGAACCAAATTATATTAAAACAAGTAAGTTAAAATAGTTTTGGGTAAAATAGTGGGCTTCTGTACCATAGTGCAATATAGAAAAAATAGAAAAAACTAGAATTAAGATATACAATACTTGGAATTCTATATTATATTCTTCAGTTTTCCAGAATCCCATTTTCAATCGTTTTTTTTTTTCAGAATCAAAGGGCTTTTCCCTTTATAGAAGTTGATTTTTGCAAAAAATTTCATGTTAATATCTTTTTAATTTTTGAGTTATGCTTTTTTTTTTGTTTCAGCCCCTCTTAATCCCCCATGCTAATTCAGATTTTTTTTCAGAATCGATAGGCTTTATCTTCTTATAGAGCTTGATTTTTACTAAAAAATTTCTTGTTGCTATTGCTTTTTGATTTTGTTTTATGATTTCTTTTCATATTTCAACCCCCTCTTAATCCCCATTTTTCAGATATTTTTTTTAATCAATAAACTTTTTCTCCTTATAGAGTTTATTTTTTGCTTAACATTTTAATATCATTTTTTGTTTTTGACTTATCTTGTGGAAAAAACACGTTGCTACTATAAGAGTGTAATAATAAGGAAAAGTTCATATATTATACTAACCTACTATGTCCTCGATCGGAATTGCTCTTTCTTCATTTCGAATATTTAGATTCACTTGAACATCACTATCTTCATCACTGTGATTTGCATTGCCACTACAAGAGTCACTGTTTTGATTAAATTCACTGTCTTCTTCGATATTGAAGGCCGGTTTATCGCGGAACACTTTTTGAATATTTTCGACACTGTCTAACCGATTTACACTGTCTATTTTGTAGTCGGTATCGGTTTCTTTAATATTATTATTATTGTTGTTGTTGTTGTTATTCGCTTCAGCTTTCTGTCTTGCATTCAGGGAGATACTGAAAATAAAATAAAAGGGTTTATTAATTTTTGTGCACAAACTTCAAAAATAATAAGTGAAATATGTGATATCAATCTACTAAACGGATATGATGTTATTTCCATTGTTTTATACATAATTTCTCTAAAATGGACAGTATTCGAGATTCGAATTTAAAAAAAAAACTCAAAAAACGAATATGGAAAAAAACGTTAAATTTTCAACGAACAGATTAGATTTTGGGTAGAGTCGGAACATCTGGGGAGGTACTTTATAGGGGTCATTTTTATATTTTATAGAATATATCTGTTATTTACGTTTGGACAAAAAAATTCTATAAATAAAAGTTACTTTTAATATTATTCTCTATAGTTTTTGTTTTATACATGATTTCTTCAAAATGAACCGTAATGGAAAAATTTGAAGAAAAGCGTAAAATTAAAATTTTTCAGTATTTTCGAAAAAACTGTTTCGACTAAGATGTATGTGGAACTTGTATATATATTTAGTTCATCATTTACAGAGGTGCTACAATAGGTTGTACAAAATAACCGAAAAAAGCCTGTAATAACTAGATAGAAAAATCATGTGATGGACACATCAGATTTTTTAAAATATTGAGACAATGAATAAAATTCGTTTTGGTTGAAACTAAAAAAGGAAAATGAAAATATTCCCTATATTTAAAGGAGAAATATACTGAAAATGACAAGTATTTAACTTTCGTTAATATATTTTTGTTATGTGTTGAAAGTTATTGACAATATTTTCGATTTGAATATACAGTGTGTCGCAAAATGTCTTCACCAAGAAAACACCAAATTACATTTTTCTTTAATCTACCTAAGTAAAAAGTTGAAACTATTATAGTCTATTTTTATGTATGAAAGAGTATTAAAATAATAAAGCGTTCGTAATCCATAGGCGTCCACTTCTTTTAGTAGACAGTTAAAATATTTTTTGAAGTTATTCCTCGAGTATACACTTATATTTTCACCTAATTAACCTACTTATAACTTCTAAACAGCTGAAGGTAAAAAATTGCAATTTTTTCTAAAATGTTTTATTTTTCCACAAGGAATGTTAAGAACATTGTGTCAAACGGGTTATGTAGGTATAAGGGTTTAAACTTTGACTTTTAAACAACGTTACGTTCATAAATAATAATTTTAATATAAAAACTACCTACAAATCCAAATCAGAATCGAAATCAGAAGATGAACTGTCGCAACCAATATTTACAATAAGTGGCTCGATCATTTCATCAGTAATATTGTCCAACTTCCACATTTTCTCTTCTTCTTTAATCGTATGATTTACTGCCTTTTCCCAGTTTTCAGGCTTTACATTATGTACAGCCTCCAAAAACAACTGTTTAACATCACTCATTTTAATAGAATGATTTTTTCTTGAAACTTCTCCCTTTATCTGTGCCCACATCAGTTCAATCGGGTTTACTTCGCAATGATATGGTGGCGATCTACCCACCGTCATCCCACGATTTTTTGCAATTTCATCAATTTCATATTTTTTGAATTTCTGTTTATGATGGGAACACAAATGATACAGTTCTTTTCTCACAGAACCGGGATGGAACTTAATATTCTTTGAATTTAGCCAATTCTGTAAATCTTTTTTTAACCACTTGGTTGTGGGCATTTTTTCTATAAGTCTCGAGTGATAACTTGCATTATCCATTACTATTATACAGTTCTGAGGAAGATCTATAATTTGTTCGAACCACTCTTTAAAGACATCAGTATTCATGTCCTCATGGTAGTCACCGATACGAGTAGATTCAAAAGTCAATAAACCACGTTTAACAAAATCGTTTGAACTACCGATCTGTACTATTATTAGTCTGCGCCCCTTTCCTGATGGTGGATTTAAACCAGTAGATAAATTATTTAAAAAAGCCTGTCTTCGACTTGTAACAGTTTCATCTTGCCAAAATTTATTTGGTTTATGTCCCTCGTTGATCCATGTTTCATCTAAATAAAATATATTTCTTCTTTGATTTCTCATTTCTTTTATAGTCCTTAGGTAATTTCTTCTCCATACTACAATATCGCTTCTTTCTATTAAAATAGACTTTCTGGAATGCTTTTTCCATAGAAAACTTATTTCTTTTAAAAGTTTCCATAGTGTGCTTCGACTCATTTCAGGGTAACCCTTATCATCTCGAACTGTGGCAAGAACTTTGTCTACTGTCGGAAATTCTTTTCTAAAGAAGAACGTATGCACTTTCCTTCGAAGTCTTTCTTTCAAAAGATTTTCTAATTGAAATTTTGGTTTTCCTGGAGCTTTACGTGCTGTTTGAAACTCGCCACATTTCTCTTCTTTAACAACTCTGTAAATCGTAGATTTGCGAACACCAAGAGTACAAATTCCACTGTGTCATCAACACTTTTACATAAATGTTTGTCTGTAAATGATTTAAAACAATTAAATATTAATGTTTTTTCATTAACTGTTAAAGGACCGATTTTTTGTCGTTTACGCGGCTCTTCCAAATTTTCCATGATCACACTAGAATTCACACTGCACCTTGCAAGTTGCAACTAAACGACATTTAGTAAACTGTCAAGAATACACAACTTGGACCTCCTTACTAAATGGAAAACCTATAATCGCATTTTCGGTGAAATTTGTTGGGAAGGTATTTATCTACTTATAATTCGATTACTGTAAGAAATTGTTGGAATTAAAATAAAACAAAATTGGCAAATAGGTACTTATTGAAAATAATCTTAAGATACGGCTATGCAATCTTTAATACACAGGGCTTTTGGCCTGTCTAAACCTTTTTCTATTGTTCTGTACAGCTTATGTTTATAAAGGACCAATAAAAGACCCAAAACTTGTAATAGCTCAGGTACATTTATTACAATTTTAGGAAATATTTAGATTATTCTGTAAAAATATTTAAAATGACCGTACTAAGTTTTGCATTAGAAATGCTGTTTTATTACTCTCTCATACATAAAAATAGACTATAGGTACATACCATAGGGTTATTCATTATAAATTACTCGCCCTTTATATCATAGTTATTATTGCATATTTAAACTGACTAAATTTTGTTAAAATATCATCAAAAATATAGTGTCTACATCAGTAGCGTGCATATTTTACGGGACGCGTCATAAATATTTTTTAATTAGGATAGCCTATACATTTTATTTAATTAATTTGGAAGGACACATAAACTATAATAATATATTATTTACCTTAATAAATCAGTTTTTGCTGAAGCTTCATAATCTAAATCATCGTCCGTATACTCGGCGTCGGACGTAAGAGTATGAGCTAAATGCTGGAAACCAGGATAGTTGGGATTGACGATCCCCCTGGTTTTTATCTGGACGGTGCCTCTGTTGCTCAAGTTGCCATCCTCTGAAGATTCAGAGTCCGATATGTCGAAACATCGATCTTCATCTTGAGGAGATGTGTCGGCAGATGAACAACTCTGTTGAGCTTCTAAAAATTTAAAAATAAATAATTAAAAACTAGTTCTTTGTCTAGAACAATGGGTACATACTACAAATAAAATCAAATTTTTAAAATAATGTTTTGAAATTGTTTTAGATACTTGTTCAAAACATATTTCTTTCGTATCTAGAATCTCCAATAATTGTATTTAAATTTATCTTCATTACTTTGACCTTAACGCCAAGCAAACATGCCAATCTTATTGAAAATCTGCTTTTTGTTTTGTTTTACACTCTTCGGACCCCTCCTGCTATCTTGGGTTGCGCTAAGTATATATTAATAATTGTGAAGATAAAACTGTAGACGCAGGTTTTTTTTTTGTTTTACACCCTTCGGGCTCCCCGTGCTTTCACTGGCGGCACTACTGCCTGTGGCTTATTATACTATCATTTGAAGGTCCTACTACTTTCCCATTCACCAATACATTCCCTTATTAACTGTCATTCATCCCACGTCGTCGATAATTAAACACTAGTCGGCTAAGTCCCATGGTGGAACATCTCAGCGATCATCTATCCATAACGTGACCGAAGAGATTACTGCTTAAGTGTTGAACTGTTGTCAGAATGTGGATTGTTCACTAATCTCGCGGATAGGATCGGTTCTTTGACCCTTTATTGTTCATCATGTTCATCAATGATATAACCGAAGAAATAGATATTGATGGTCTGTTATTCGCTGATGATTTTGAGATTTTTCATCATATCCTCAGTATTGAAGACTGTTGACATCTTGTCCGTAATTTACTGAGCATTGAAAGATGGTACAACGTCAATAAATTATCTCTTAACACATCCAAATGTCATGTTATGTCATTTTTCCTAAAATCTAATGTGATACATTTTAATTATGAAATTGGCAATAATGTCTTGGTAAGACCTGAAACTTTTGTGCATCTTGGGGTAACCTTTGATCCTCAATTGACATTTGTACCTTACATCAATTCTGTGATTAAAAATTAATTAATTAAATTAAAAATATTAATATTAATATTTTTAGGTACATAGTTACTATAATTATTGATTGAATGGTTACATAGTTATTAGATAATGATATTGCTATAGATAATTTTATCTTCCAATTTCTTATCTAGGTCTAACTTCAAATTAAAGCAATATTAAGCTGTGTCTGAGTAATTGAAATAAAAACAATTAGCGGTTTTATATTATAACAACTACCTGTGCTATGTTGATATATATTTCCAATATTAATACAATTATATATAATAAAAAAAAAGTAAAAAAATTCCGATACCGGGAATCGAACCCGAGCCTCCTGGGTGAAAGCCAGGTATCCTAGCCACTAGACCATATCGGATGTTACAAATTTTATTTGTTTCAAAAGTTTTGCTAAGTTGCCTGTGCTATTAATAGTGCAGGTCAATTCTTTTATTAAACTCAAGATAAAAAAATAGATAAAGTACCTACATAATAAATTAATAATCTAAATTAAATATTACCTACTACTCATAATCGTTATATCTATAATTATTGACAATCTTACTAGATAATAATAGATTGCTGAAAAATATTAAAAAATCATGTAATAATGTCGTTGACATCTTATATAGCTACCGTAATAAGTTATGTTATTTCATACTCTTTAAAAAATTAATTTTACAGTTTATTACTTTTTTAGAAAGTAGGTAAACTTAAAAAATTAACGAAATTGAAATGTAATTTCCCATAAAATTACATTTTCAAAAATGTGTCACTCCTGGTAATTTCGTTATCTAAATTTTAGGAGTTGTTCACCCCATACTCAAGGGTCGAAGCGTCAATGCTGAAATTAGAAAAAAATGAGTCCTACTCCAAACAAAAATCGACGTGTCCATGCATTTCTGCTTCTAGGTGCATAATTTTCACCCTCAAGAGGGCGCTTCTATCGAAATTTGAGGAAAAATATTGACATTACTGAATTTCTCATAATATTACCTTTTTAAAAATGTGTCACATTTAGTACTTTTCCTATCTAAATTCTAGGGGTTGTTTACCCCAATGCTCGAAAGTTGAAGTGTCAATGACGCGATTAGGAAAAAAATGTGTCCTCCTCCAAACAAAAATCGACGTGTCCGAGCATTTTTTCATTAAATCTGAGGGATCCAAGAAATGGGGGTGGATACTTTTCATTGGACCACACTGTATAATCAAAATAGCTATATAAGGATGTCTACGACATTATTACATGTAAAATCATTTTTAATATTTCTCAGCAATCTATTATTATCTAGTAAGATTGTCAATGATAATACCTACGTACCTATCTACAATATAATCAATTTTGAAAATTCAATTACGATTTATATTATTAATTGTAGATTTAACGATTAGTATGTAACGAGTAGTAGGTAATATTTTATTATCTAGGTACTTTATCTATTTTTATGTTGAGTTTAATAAAAGAATTGACCTGCACTATTAATAGCACAGGCAACTTAGCAAAACTTTTGAAATGAATAAAATTTGTAAAATCCGATATGGTCTAGTGGCTAGGATACCTGGCTTTCACCCAGGAGGCTCGGGTTCGATTCCCGGTATCGGAATTTTTTTATATTATATTATTGTATTATTATTGTTAACATATCAAAGGATTTGTTATAAAATAAATCTACTTTTTACTTTCCTATCTGTATACAGATAAGGAAAGTATAGGAATCATGATTTTTTTCGACCTCCAGTTTTCGACGGATTTTTACGTTTTGGGGTCCCCTGAATTCGTTTTGACTATTTTCGGGATGATGTCTGTGTGTGTGTGTGTGTGTGTGTGTGTGTGTGTGTGTGTGTGTGTGTGTGTGTGTGTGTGTGTGTGTGTGTCTGTGTGTGTGTGTGTGTGTGTGTGTGTGTGTGTGTGTGTGTGTGTGTGTGTGTCTGTGTGTCAGTGTGTGTGTCTGTATCCACCATAACTCATGAACCGATACAAAGATAAACACCAAATTTTAAACTTAAGCTTTATTCCATCGTCCAAAGAACTGATTAGTTTTTGGACAGAGTCGGAACATTTGGGGGGGTACTTTATTGGTGGTCATTTTTATATTTTATGAAATATATCCGTTATTTACGTTTGGAGAACAAAATTCTTCAAATAAAAGTTACTTACAATATTATTATCTATAATTTTTGTTCCATGCAAAATTTTGTGTATAATTTCTCTAAAATAAACCGTATTCGAGATATTTGAGAAAATGTGTAAATTTCTAATTTTGAAGAAAACTCAAAAACAGATAAAGGAAAAAACATTAAATTTTAAACTTGAGTTTTATTTCGGCCTGAGGTGAAATAATTAGATTTTGGAAGAAGGCGGAACATTTGGGGGGGTACTTTATGGGAGGCCGTTTTTATATTTTATGGAATATATCTGTTATTGATGTTTGAAGAAGAAAATTGTTTAGATAAAAATTACTTACAATATTATTATCTATAATTTTGGTTCTATACAATTTTTTTTAAATTTGACAAAATGTAATAAAATTCAAATTTTTAGGAAAATTGTTTAAATAAAAGTTATTTGTGATATCGATCTCTATAATTTTTGTTTTTATATGGTTTTTCTAAAATGGACCGTATTAAAGAAATTGAAGGAAAAGTGCTAAATTTAAATTATTCAGTATTTTCGTTTTCAATGAATATCTATAGAAAAATGTTTCGAGTTAGATGTATGTGGAAAATGTATATAGTTAGTTTATTCTCTAAACATTTATAGAGGTGCTGCAATAGGTTGTACAAAATAATCGGAAAAATTCTATAATAACTAGATAGGAAAGTCATGTGTTGGACACATCAGATTTGTATTTCAATTAATACGGCACAGCTTAACTAAATATAGTTTTAATTCAAAATTAAACCCAGATTTAAAGTTGAAAGATAAAATTATACAATCTATAGCAATAGCATTATTATCTAATGTAGTAATGTAACCATTCAATCAATAATTATAACAACTATGTACCTAATAATATTAATTAAAATAATATTGGCTATGTTTGCTGGTATTTTTAGTTGCGCATTTTTTTTAACAAAAACTTTTACACAAGGTGTGTCACGTAACATTGGCCAATATCAACTTTCTTATTTTGAATACAACACCCCGTATATTTTTCAATTTTTGGATTCTTTAGAAAATTCTAGAAATATTTTATGTACTATGTTCAATACCTGTTTCGAAAATATTAAATGTTTTCCGATTTTTTGTTAGCAGGAAGTAAATAACTCAGAACTTTTATTATAAATAAATAAACTGACAATATATAAAATTACTTCAAACTCTTATCTTGTTTATAACAATAAAACATAGGTATCTACGGAAACGCACTTAGTATTCATCTAACAGTTATTGTAAAAATTAACATTAACAAAATAAAATTGTTTGAGTACAGAAATTCGCTACAACACACTCATCATATTTATTTTTAAGTTAAATATTTGAAATATTATGTATTTACGAAATTCACTTCATCACCACCCTGTAGAATGAAATTGGGACGCTTACAGAAAAATTATATTTAGCATTTCTTAATAATTAGTTAAGATTCACAAATATCCCAGTTTACCGTACTTTTTTCTGAAACACCCAGTATAATAAAAAAATTAACTATTGTTTACTAACCCTGTTATAACCAAATAGTTATTTCTTATCTTCGACAGCCTTGTAAAGGGAAATGTAAACAAATATGCGCAAATATAGCCAATATTATGATTTATTATTAATATTATTAGGTACATCGTTACTAAAATTATTGATTGAATGGTTACCTATACATTAGATAATGATATTGTTATAGATTGTATTATTTTATCGTTCAAATTCCAATCTAGGTCTAACTTCGAATTAAAATCATATTAAGCTGCGCCTGAGTAGTTGAAATATAAAAAAATTAGTGGTTTTATATTATAACAGAAAACTTTTGCTATGTTAACATATATTTTTAATAATACAATAATATAAATAAAAAAAAAAAAAGTAAAAAAAATTCCGATACCGGGAATCGAACC